CCCAAAACCCCAAAACCCCAAAACCCCAAAACCCCAAAACCCCGTTATAATTTTAAGAAAATGAAATAAGAATTAAATATTTTCTTGAATAAACTCATCCTCCTAAATGAGAAGAGTTAATCATGATTCCTTCGGATATCATAATTCATACGGAGATACTAGCTCCAGGCATAACGGTGCTAGGAGGAACATAAATCAACAGATAAATGTGGGAAATCTCGATAGTATGATCTCTTCTAGTCATGTAGATGAAAATGGCCGCTCGAGTTTAAATGATGCATCTGATTATAACATAGATGTAACCGAAAGTCAAGAAGCACCTGGCATCAACACAAATTCATCTGTTTTCAAGCAGTCTTTTGGCCATAAGGCCTCTAATATGCCAAAGACTAATGCTATGGGGGACAATAACCCTTTTACCGCATCAAAGAATGACAACACTCAGTTTCCAAATATGTCTCCAATAAAGTCTGGAAAAGTTAGTGATCCTGAGACTTTAAGGGCAAGTGATCTTGAAGCATTAAATGCACCATTTGGAGCCCCAGTTTCTCCAATTGGCCAGAATTCTGCCAATAGGAAATTCGGGTCTAAAACATACAGACAAGCCACAGGAGGTATGTCAGATCCTGACGAAGGAGCAGACGAGCTTATCATCAGAGATAGCGACGATATTATCCGAGGAAGAGATCGGCTTAGAGACGATAAAAGCCCTCATGACAGAAATGCCAGGCCAAGATCCAGTATAATGAAGAAGGAATGGGCAGCTAATCAGAAAGACTCTGAACTCTCCTCTCCAAAGCAAGTTACATTTGCTCGTGGCACTAAATGACACTTAGAACCTCAAGAACTTGAGGATAAACTCCGACAAGAAATCAGGATCAATGATAGCAGAATAAAAGAAAGCAATTTTTCTAAAGAAAATAAAGTATCTTATGAAAATGACCAGCCAAACCAGAAAAAGGAGCACATAAGTGTAGCTGAGAGCGATTACAAAGAGCGAGCAAATTTCCAAAATCAGTCCGAAAATGTCCAAGAGATAGACCCTCATATGAAAGCAGATTATGACAGAGACTATACTTTCAGAGATAGAAAAAGGCACGATAAAAACGATACTAATGCCAGACAGATTGACAGAGGCTATCACCCTCACCAAATCGTAGAATCTCGGAATGAATACGAAAATAGCCAGAGACCTGAATTTGGAAATGGTATCAAGATTCGACTCAGCAGAGATGAAGATTTAGTAAGAGAAAACCCTCATCAACTAAAGTCTGGCTATGAACTAGCTCAAGAGCAGGATGTAAAGCAAGTCCCAGTCCGCCGTACCAAAAGAAGAATAAGCATTGATCAACAATACGATTATGACAAGAAGGTTGACTATCTTTCAGAATATAAGGAACGAAAGAAAGCTTCTCTTGACACAGACCAAAGCCTCAGAATGAAAGTGGATTCTTCCCATGACTACAACAGGACTAGCGTAGAAAGAAGGAATAATGAGACCTTTCGCACACAAATAGACCGAGAAAATGAATCAAATGTTCAAGTTCATCAACCAAGGATGGCAGAAAGCAGGAGACATCGTGATATAGGAAGGGAAATTATTTCTCCTAAAGATGGTCGTCAGAATGAAATTAACCCTCCTAAAAATGACTCTTTTAGAATAGCTAACTATCATAAGCCTACCCGAAGAATAAGTTCAGATGAACTACGTTTCAGTGGAGAAGTTACCCGAGAAGAATTTGAGGAAAGAGAAGACATCTCTTCTACAGTGAAAAACGAATCTTATAATTTTGGAAAAAGACTTAGGTCAAATGAAAGACTTAGCTCAAGAGAAATAGAACTCGAACGGGAAAAGATCAAGCCAAACCCAGAACCAACCATGAATAAACCTCAAAGATCTCTAATGGACAACCATACTATTGAAAACAAGATCAGAAAAGTTCATGTTGAAGAAAATCCTCCTACATCTTTTGGGATGCGTAGTATAATCAACAAGCAGCATAAAAAGCAACATTTTCCAGAAAATAAAGATATCGAAAATACTGTGCTACCAATGACCTCTTCTCGATTAGAAGAGTCAAGAAATGAAAACTCTGTGTTTAAAACTATGGATAACTCTATTAGGGAAAGATCTCCCTTCAATATGTCTAACCAGTCAGATATGTCCTACAAAAAGGAGATCGTACAGACAAGGAGATCTCCTCAGAGAATGCATAGAGCCATGGAAGATATTTCAGATAGCTATAATCGAGAAGACATTATTACCACTCAAAGATATCCAAACTCAATTCCTAATGAAGCTCATATTCAAGAAGAGATTTATTATCCAAGAGGTAACTCCCCCAGGAGAATACAAGAGGGATTCAACCAACCTAGAGAAAGAGGGCCAGAAATTGTTCATAAAAGAGTGCCTCAAAAGCCAAGAGAAATCCAATATTCCAGCCCTGCTAGATCTACTAGGAAATCTCCCTTAAGAAGGGATTCGAGCAGTATCCAAGAAATTGAATATACAAGCCCAATGAGGACTTCTGATAGAAGACAGAGCCCTATCAGCAGAGCGTCTCCAAGAAGTAGACCCTCTCCTCGCCGGAGTCCTGGGCGATATCAAAGTCCTGGACCTAGGCAGAGTTCTCCAAGAGAGAGACCTCTAGGATCTCCTCCTAGGGAGAGAAAGAAGCATGATCCATCGACTGAAAACAACATAATTTCAAGATTTATTTCAAACAAGATGATTAACAAAACAGTTGAAGATCTCGTATTTGAGCTAGTGCCTGAATTTTACGAAGAATCAATGAATCCAAAGAGAAAAGATACTAAAATCCCTGTGAAGCCTAGGTATTCTTAAAATCTAATCTCTAGTCAAAGAGTCTCAAACGCAATGACTCCTATCCACGGTGGCAAGAAGTACATGAGTGTGGTAGACACAATGGTCAATGAGGATGACGACTCTGATATATGCGATACTGATGAAGGCATCAATGCTAATAGAATTGTCGAGAGCATGACTAAGAAAGAAACTAAGAATAATTATGTCAAAAAGAGAGAAATAGACTCACTGGGTATTAAATTTGAAGCTCCTAAAAGAATCAAGGGAGTAAAAGGACTCCCATACCAAGATAAGGACAACTATCCAATGATTGATGTCAGGTCTAGAGATACCTTTGACAATCCCCAGATCTGAGATGTATGGTGATCAGAATGATTCGACCATATCACTGAGGGAGAAGAAGAAAAACATCTCAAAATATGAAGGCCTTTTACTAAGACCTCTGAAACAGTCGATGAAGATGGGAATGAAATTGAAGATTTACCGCATGTTAATGAGAAGATATTTAAGGTCTCCAAAGCTATTACTCAGCACCTCTCAGATGTGATGAAAACAAATGCTGGCATCTTTGACGAGACTGTTGAGATAAGATTCCTTAGAACTTTGAGGCAAAAGGCTGAAGACATTGAAAAGAACAATAAAAATCTCATCGCCCAGGGGCAGATGCAGGACTCAATAAACCAAATAACTTATGATTCCAAGAATAATCGTGATCTTCACTGGGTCTTTGTGTTCTCAAAAAGACTTGGGAAGCTAACCGGTGATAAACTCGAAATCATGGAAAGGATTGACCAAGAGAACAAAATTAAAAAGCAAGAAATTCAGCAAATTAGGAGCACATTCATCGATAAGGGATCCCTCCGCTTAACGACTATAAAAGACAAAGCCTCTCAAAGTATCAACTATGATGAGGTTAAGTCAGTTATGATGTCTCCATATCGTGCAAAAGGAGAGACAGTTGTAGACTCAAGATTTGCTGATCTAAACATTAAGAAGAAAAACAGAACAGTCAAGAGAATTAATAACTCAGGCTCTTTTAGCAAGCTACCTATTTAAATTTTGAAGAATTACAAAAATTGCTCAATTTTTAAAATTTGAAAGGGGTTTTGGGGTTTTGGGGTTTTGGGGTTTTGGGG